CCTCCAAACTGCCCAGCTTGTCCAAGGAGGCTCTGATCTCTAAGCTGCTCGAAGATTCCCTACGAAAGGCGCGCGAGAACGGTGAAATCCTGGACGAGGACAGCGGCCAGGCCATTTTGAAGATCCTGAAGCAGAGCTTACTGAAGAGCAAAGAATATGAGAGTTCTGAGTCTACTCTGGAAGCAAATTATTCGCGTTCATCCAGCTTGAATTCAGATGGTGACTTCATCTCGACGAATCTCTTCCTCGAAGAGAATCCATACGAGGTGATCAAGGAACCGATTTACGAGGAGATACCCGACGAACCACCGCCGTTACCTCTAAGTCCGCCACCCACAGAAGATTATATCAAGGACAGAATCTACTTCGGCGATGTCGAATATTACAAAAAAATCACTCCAGATCAGTTTCTCGGCCCTTATTTATCCGAGGAAGTTTTTAAGAAGTCCAACTCGGAGGATCTGGCCGAGACCTATTTGTCCAAAAGTCCCGAAGACTTCTTCAAGAAAATGTCAATGTCGCCCGAGGACGAGAATAATATCTCTACCAAGTTCGAATTGTTAAGTTTCCTAATGGATTCTAAGGATCGCACGCGCTCCGCGGAGGAGGACGAGGATGAAGACGAGGACGAGGAAGATGACGCCGAAGGAGACCTAGAAGCTCTATATGAGCAAAAGGAGACTAGCCTGGGCGATCTCAGTTCCAAGAGTTCACAGATCTCCAACGTATCCGACAGTAGCGAGGAATGCAACATTATCTTGACGAGCTCACCGGAAACGTTGAAAGTGAGTTTGAAGCTACCCAGACAGTAAAATGTTAGCAATTTGTCTACAAATTGCTGGTAAATTCGATCAAAATATTCAACAAATTCATATCAACTGAGTCTGTATTGTTTGCTGACATAATGTGAAAGCAAGTTGTCGGCAAAAACCAAGCGAAACTTTGATCGATTCTTGCCGCCAATTTGTTGTCAAATTGCCAACAAACATCACACGATTTTGCCGATAATATTTTTTTTTGTTTTGTCGGTGAATTTTTTCGTATATCTGTCAACAATTTAATATCATTAAATATAACATAATTTGCATCAAATTTTTTTTGTCTTTTTGTTGACAAAATTTATAGCAAACACTTGACAAAATTTGTTTTCAACAGACTTGACTAACCGAGTACCAATTAACGATTGGAGTAAACATTTTTTGGGATCTCTGAAATAATAACATATATGTTACATGCTAGTTAATGTTCTAATCAATGCTTCTTATCGTTGTCACAGTCGCGGACAGTCGACATAGAGAGAACCGATAGCGGAGTCGGATCTGAGAGCAGCCAAGCCAGTAGCACTCGATGTGTCGCGAGACGCTGGAGGACAGGCAACGTCTCCTCCGGCCCGGGAAGCCTCCTCGGCGGAATGCCGCAGGTGATTTCCGGGGCCACGAAGTTGTGCGAGGACTGCGAGCAGCGACTGGATCCTCTGATAACAGACAGGTGAGCCTGAGAGACTTGACACCGAAACTGTTAGTTTTAATGCATTCGATATCCGGTATCACAGATACGGAAAAATGCTTCGATATCCTGAATGAATGATCGCTCTCACATTATAGCTTCACCTCTTTACAGTTTCCCGTTTGAGTCGTCGGACGGATGATAAACGTACTATAAGAGCTTTTCGAAACTCGTTCTTAACGTTCTTCTCGACGTCCTAAATCGTATCGTTGTTATCACTTCCACTCAGATTCGCAGATAACGTTCGATGATCCGGAGAGAGGATATAACGGTCCAAAGTCCTCGCTAGAGCGTATCTTCCACGGCTGCGCGGCCGAGTTTCGACCGTGAGAGATTCGGTTTACTGCGAACTCCGCGCGAGATTCGCTCGATTCGCCTCTGAACTATAAATAAATCTACGAACAAAGTGCCGTTCTGCGTTCCGGCCTCCCAGGAGTAATCCTGCGAATCGAGGAACGAATGCCGTTTCGTTACGGTCGCGGACTTTTCACAGCTGTGATCCACCTGCGCATCCGTCGTAGCGATCTGTACCAATCTTTCTCTTGTGAGAAATCAATCGAAAAAAATCATCTTTGCTCGAATTAATGCACCAATTACTGAAAACGCAAGCTTTCTGATTAATTAACAGTCTCTCTAATTAAATTCTCCAGTAAACAAGAATGGAATAAAATGCATTGAAATTTTTAATCCATCCGTATCTTAATTTACTCTTGGCAAGCTTAGCTCTCTAAATACCAAAGGCTATTGAACGCGTTTAGAATTTGTATATCTAAGAATTTGTTCGACTAGATTACGCGACAAATGCAGCGCGAGAGAAACAGTGAGCTACTTTCTCCAACCATTGATTTTATTTACCCGAAAGCGAAAGTGTCGTTATCGAAGAGCGTGGTTGACGCTTGATGAATGGATAATGCAATATGCGTCCGGAAGTTGCGACAACCGCTTTCGTCCGTGATTGTAGATTACACATACAAATGTGTAGTAGGTGCAAGCTTCATATTCGATTGTCTTCGCTTTCATCTGACAAAATCTTTTTGGTAGCAACTTCCTTAATTATAACGTTTGCGTTATCGCGGCGTCGCGCAGATATTTTTATTTTTCATGTTTTTTTTTTCAGCGGTGTCGTTTATGCGCCTTTCGTGTGCAGGAAGTGCTCGAAGAAACGCGCGGAACGGAAAGAGATTATCACGGAAATCGTGGAAACCGAGCAGAAGTACGGCAGAGATCTACAGATCATACTCGAGGAGTTCCACCGGCCGATGTTAAGAGCGGGTCTTCTCACGTCGGAACAACTGTCGGCGATCTTCCTAAACGTCGAGGAACTACTCGAGCATAATCTCGTCTTAGCCGAGAAATTAAAGGACAGCGTGGAACTCGCTCAGGTAAGCCTAGAAACTCTTACAAGACGTGTATTTCAGTTATCTTATTTTAAATACGCGTATCGAAAAGTATGTGTTGCGGTGTCTGATCTTTTCGATTGTGTAGGAATCCGGGGACGAGGATCTCTTAACGGTGGACGTGGGTAAGATCTTCCTCGAGTCCGAAAGAATGCTCCACGCTTTCGAGAGTTACTGCACGCGTCAAGGCGGCGCCAGTTTATTACTACAAAATCTGGAGAAAGAGAAAGAGCTTCTTCGCATCTTTCTCAGGGTTTCTCAAATGGAGAACACGGTTTTGCGAAGAATGAATCTGAACTCCTTTTTAATGGTATTGTCACTTAATTCCTTGACTTAATCTTTTATTCAGGAATGAAAGATATAAATCATACATTCATAAATTTGATGTATTTTTTACAGGTTCCTGTCCAAAGAGTTACGAAATATCCTCTGCTTCTGGCACGTTTGCTCAAAGCGACACCCTCTGTTCGACCTGATATCCAAGAAGCGAAAAAGAGGCTTAAGCAAGCACAAACAAATATCGAGCTACATTTGGAACACATGAATGCTGTAAGTATATTACAAAGAATACAAAGTACATATCTAGTACAATTTAAAATTGAAAATAAATATGTACTTATAATTATAATAGGAGGCAAAGGATGTTACGTCGACGAAATTGTGGAGGAGAATATCAATTATTCAGAATGGCAGACGGTCCGTCGGCGAACAGGATATGGTGAATATTAAATTAAGAAAGGTGTGTAAATCTAATTAAGATGCTCTATTTATACTTATTCAATTTTAAAATGTCAATTGCTTAATTCTTTAATCATGCTATTAATTTTTATAAAATTTACATTAGATGGCTGTCGAGATTTTGGAATGGGCACACGAAGAAGCTAGGTTTGTCCTCGAAGGACGTCTTCTGGTAGCGCAACCGACTGACAATAATTGGAGACGCGGTCGAACTGTTAAACTTGCGCCTGTTACTGCCATGCTTGTTACAAACGGCAAAGTAAATATGTACAATACGTGTCTTTAAATGTGTCTCGTAAATAATTTTGTGCATAAATATAAAGGACATTTTTATTTTTCAGCCGAATGCCAACTATCCCGAATTTAACGATGAATCGCTCTTTCCAAAGCACATAGGTATCAAGGAAGCTACCTTACTTCTGGTCAAAGAGAAACTTGGACGATATTCTTTATTACGAGTGAGTTATTAGTATATTTCACATTGTTTTATTAATCACGCGAATCCGTTTTTTGAAACATTGATTATTTCAGGAGCCGCTGTACCTCGATAAATGCATAGTATGTTGTGAAACGGATCTCGAAGATTATTTCGAAATACAGGAATTGTCTTCTAAAGAAACATTTATATTTAAGGTAAGATTATTTAACTTAATTTTAAATACAGATTGGGATGATATGAATTTTAATTTAAAGATAATTTATTGACATTGGTACGAATAAATGGAAAATTGATTTATCATAGGCAGAGGATGGCGCGAGAACGAAAAGATGGTGTAGAACATTACAAGCTCACGCACAGTCTCTTGGCGCTTGGCGCAAACGTCGAGGGGCCCTTCCTAATATCATGATCTGTGGTGTAGCGAGAAACTAAAGGTTTAGATGTAATAAGTGCACATGTAACACGATGTTATCGGATGTATTTAACGCATTTTTAAGCCACTGAAGTTCTTCACCAGTACGAAGAAGTCTAAGCGATTGCATAAATTCATGTATATGATCTCCAAATGAATTAGTAATGATTTATTGCGGAGAGAGAACGCTAGACCAAAGGATTTCCTCGCCTCGTTGACATGCGGCCGTCGACGAGCGAAAGTCTAGTTTTTACCGAATTCGAGGTATGACCATCTGTGTTCGGTTGTTACAGTACGTTGCAGAAACTTGAGTTTCCTACGACACTGTAAAATAAAGTGCTACGTGGCCTCGAAAGTCGCGCACAATTTCGTCGATTCCTAATGAATAATTTTAAGTACATATATATATATATATATATATAATATATATGCATATACATATATATGTATATATACACACACATACACACACACACATATATAGGATTATTTAATATTAATGATTAAATTCTCAAAAAAAAAGACGAGACGAGTAGCTGTGATATTGACCGGTGTATTGGGTATTGTTTTCTTTTCGCAAATTATTTACGGATGTTAACATACTTTATCTGCATTTTCCATCTGCGATTCTTTTTACCAGTATCGCTTTTTGCGAAAATGATATTAATAGGGTAGATTTTATTAGATTCGAGGTTATATATAGGGTTTGCAGATTAATAGTATTGAAGAATTCGCATGAATCAGCAGCGTCAAGGATACACGGTGCCGTATATGTTCCGTATAATTGCGTGCATCAATAATTTGTAAAGCTGTCGGAATATACTTATTTTAATTTCTCCAATTATTCTCTTTCTTTCTCCAAATAATTAACAGTATTTTTATGATGTCTAACACAACACATGCAAATTGTACATTATTTTTATTTAAGAATTAAGCCATACTGTGTATATATATAAATGTATATTTACAGATTTCCTCACAAAGTTCTAACAGAAATTCACTGTAACAAATTAATCTGCTACATTACAATCTGCGATTTAATAAAACTGAAATTTGATGCATTTCAAGTATAGATCGTTCCGATCAGATACTCATTCCAACATTTTCTTCCAATATTTCTGCACAGTCCTGTACTACAATATCTTTCGTGTTTTTTAACGGTAATAAGTGCCGAGATGAGCGATAATTATACAATTTAAGCTCCGGATGTTTCTCGAGTAGATACTTGTAAGCGGTTGCTAGCTTGTTGATATCTTCTATGGTAAGTTGCGTTGGCCTGATCGTCGGTTCCAAGTCAGCCAACTTGTACATCATCAAACCTAAATCTTTGCGATGTTCCTTCGGAAAGAGAGTCCTATAAGAAAAAAGATAAAAAATTTATTTACAGTTTTATTTATTATCATAATAGGGATAATTTACAATATAAACAAACTTACTCGATGCATCGTATACTGTACTTCTGCCTGAAACTGAACACATGCCTCGTTATCATTTCAAAGAATTTAAAATCGTACTGTGTGCGTGGTTTGACCAATGGCGTAAATGACACTACTCCCACATCGACATCTGGTTTTGGAACAAAAGCTTCACCTATAAATTATAAATTGGAGTGTAAATAATAATTTCATAAAACAAATTTATATAACATAATAAAATGCAGTTTAATTACCAGGTATAATAAAACGAAGTATTGGAAATGTCCAAGTTTGAGCCATTACTGATAGCCTGCATCGTTGGTATCCCATCGGTGGAGCTACTAAACGTTCCGCTACTTCTTTTTGGAACGTTAATGTCATTTTTGTTCTACCAAATGCCCAAGGTCCACGTTGTTCGGATATCGCATGCAACCACTGAATTATAAGATGTGTCGCTAGACTAAACGGTAAATTGCCTATGATGAAGATATCTGGAGATTTATCATTCCAATTTCTCTTTTTCTCCAGTGGGAATAGACTTTCTATGTTTGTTTTCATAATGTCATCGTATATTATATCCATCTTTCCATTGATCGCACCGAATGAGTCCGCTAACATCTCTAAAGTCGGTTTAAATCTTTTATCTTTTTCCACAACTACTAATCGTTCAGGGACCTTTTTTAGGATAGATCGAGTTAATCCACCTGGACCTGGACCGACTTCTAGTACTTGACTCCCAGAAATATTTCCTGATTTTGCTATAATTTTGTTAGTTATATTTTGATCCAAAAGAAAATTTTGAGACAATCGTTTTATGGCACTCAAATTGTATAATTTCAGTATATCTCGTATGGTCGGAAGTGGTGGCAATCGTGGAGCAGACATCTTCAAATGTTAATCTTGTACAGACACACTTATGTGAAACAGTGGAGATTTACAAAGTATAATCTCCAGAAAGGAAAAAAATATCACTTTAAAAAATAAGCTTCTATTATATAAGCAAAAATATACTATCTATTTAATACAATAAGCAGTAAACTTCTTTATTAACATTTCAAACAAAGTAACTTTTTATATAGCTTTCTCAATTGTCTTTTCTGGCACTTCAAAGTCATCTAAGAATTTTTCCTGTTTAACTGCATATATTGTATAAGCATAGATTCCAATGACTCCAAGGCTTAAAGCAATAGCGGTACGATTATTAGCTTTACGATATTTCAGTACGTTTTTTGCTCTTTGCAAATTCTGTTCTTCCATACGTTTCATATAAATCATATCTGTAGACTTAAGCTTTGTTGCATCTTTTATTATATCAATTTTTGGCATAGCTTCATTTTGTCGAAGTTGATTATCTGTAGACAAATGTATTAAGTTTACTTATGTCAAAGAATACCAAGTAAAATATTCAACTTAGATCATTCACCAGGTCCCATTTCCACACACCAGTGTCCTCAATTAATTAGAATAGATCTTCGTCTCTTTTCTTGTTATCAGTGTGTTCCAGCCTCGTCAAAACTTAAATAGAAAAAATATCATTGTAAAAACTGTTTACCTGTTTATATAATGATTATAGACATTTTAAGTAGTAAAAATCTTTAAAAAATTTAAATATAGTATTTAGATGACACACACACACACACACACACACACATATATCTATCTCAGAATTTCAATATATCTACAAATTTATATATAATTTTAACTACATAAAAATGTCTCCTATAAAGTTATGAATATGAACTGAATAAATTACTAATTAATCTTTCTACAAAATTATAAAAATATAACTTAATTTTAATCGGAAAACGCATTAGAAACTAGAATTTTGAGGTTAAGTTAAATCAGCTTATTAACTCTTATTAATATTTTAAGTGCATAATAATTATCAAATATTGATTAAGAAATACTCTGTACATTTGATAAAAATATGTACGTTACACATACGGTGAAAAAAATATAACTCGGTTTAGATTCTTCACATTGCAAGATCACACCACGCACACCTGCTACCTGCACTTCTACACACAGTACACACAGTGCACACCACATCATCCTAGAGTCCCTCTAGAGTCTACTCTAGGGACTCTACACCATCCAGTGCGATACTGCCATCACAGACGAGCGGCGATTATGTGCAATACATGATAGAAAATAACTTTAAGCATCTCTGTTGGTATTATCACGCATAATATATATTAATTTAGTTTTATTGAATTGATTTTATAGTAACATTTATTGATATTTCTGAGATTTTAAATATGATAATTCATAAATCTTCAATATACAGCGTACGTTATACTTTTATCTTTAGCAAACATCATTAATTGCAACTATTTATATTTGCAATTATCAACAAAAACTTATATAAATTTATATAAATCGATAAAATATCAAAAGATCAAATAATCAGATAAAAAAATAATACTTGGTGAACTTTCAAGAATTTTCAGGATTTTAAATTTAAAAGTTCAAGCTGTCAAAATTTAATCCCATTACATAATAATAGTGTAGTTAAGTCTAAAGAAACTATAATTACAGTCGAAGAATCATCGTCTACATTGATCAATTTCTAAGATTAAAGCTTAGTACATCTATCGTGTTATTTGAAAGAGACTTATTCTTAAACCGATATTCATTTCTTACAAAGATAGTCTTAAATACAGTCTTGAAATTTCATGAGCCAATCACAAGTCGTATTTGCATCTTCAGACATTAAACTTAAGATCTTAAAATAAAGACGGATTATGTATACTGTGCTCAAATTATTAAAATATCAAGAGAATATAAGGCTGCGCAAATAAAAAACCAGAGAAACGCAATTTTAAAATCATTATTAATAAAACAAGCTTTAATAATTGTAATTCACTTTTTCTATATACACATAAAATAAATATACCATTTTTTTAAATTAATTGACTTCTTAATGGTTTTTCGCAGATAATATGTTTATCAAAGACTAAATTATAATCTTAAACAGAATATTATTTTAAATATATATTTTACATTTTATTAGCATCAAAAAACTTTTTAGTGTTTTATTACAGACTCGCGTTTCAATACAGAAATGTACAATTTGATTTGTTAGATAAATGATTTATTAAATGAAAGCGTGTATAGCTAGAATAAATATTACGCAGAAGAGAAGAGGCAGAACTATTAGGTGTTAAACTTAATTCCTGCCGTTTTTCGTCTCCAAAATTGATTTGTTTCGAAGGGAAATATCTTAATCAAAGTATTATTAATAAAGTATTATTAATTAGTAATAAAGTAGAAAATGGAGGAAATTACTTTGATTAAGGTATTCGTTCATCTTCCTTTCGAAACAAATCAATTTTGGAGACGAAAAACGGCAGGAATTAAGTTTAACACCTAATATAAAAAATCAAGAAAACAGTATATAAAAAAAAATATATATATAATAGTAAATTTTCTATTAAAAAATTAAATCGTATCTCCTTCAATATGCACACAACTCATTAAATACGTAAATCGAAAATAATTCCCATAAATCATTTCAGCATAATATTTATTGCAGCAACATTGCAACGTTCGTATAATATTATAAGTAGACAACATTGGAAATGTTACTGCAAGTTTCATTATATGATATTATTTTTATAATTAAAAAATAGAGAAATTCTTTTAAATCTCTAATTTAAAATAAGGAAAATGATTTATAATTTGTTTTTAATACACGATATTGATACAATAATAAGATGTTGTAAATATAGATATATATAAATATTTTTTTTTTTTT